CCTTGCAGTTCTTACACCCAGCCCAAGCACCAGCGAAACAAACTTTCTGTCAGAAGTTTCCTGATGCTCAGGAGGGACGAGCGCGTCTCGTTGCCCCCCCCGGGGACCCTCGGGCTTTGCTCCAGCGGGGAACGAAGCCACCGGAGGTGCCACCGGCGCCTCGCTGGCCCCGGCCGGGCGGTCCCCGCCACCCCGGGCAGCCGTGGGGACACCGGGCGGAGGGGTGACGGGTGGGAAGGGGGGGAGCAGGCGTCCGGCAGCCCTGGGCAGGGATTCCTGTGGGGCGGCCAGAGGCAACGGTGAGGTGCCCGTGGAGGGGAACGGGAGCGCTTGTGCCAAGAGGTCGACCGAAAGGATGAACGCGACTTTTCTGGGTGGCTCCGGAGGGTGCCGGGGGGTGCCAGGCGGTGCACAGGTCCCGGGGCAGCCCCTGCAGGGTGGCGGTCCGAGGGCTGCAGGGCGAAGAGCCCTGTGCTGCCCCCATCCCGGGGCTCTCTTTGACCCGATGTGCTGCTTAGGGCGAGCTGTGACGGAAGTTGTTCTCCTAAGTGAAATCGGAGTTTTTGCGAGGTGCAGTCCCCCATCCATTTTTAACCACGGTGATTACTAAATTAATAGCAGACCCTAAGACAGATGTCAAAACGTCTTGAAAATGTTTATCTGTGAATAATTAAGAAGGTGGTAAGACGCATTATCTGATTGTATAATGAAATATGTATGAGGAACAGCTGTTTGCAATAGTCACCTCCCGTTGTTTCATTAGCCTAGAGCCTCCTCTTTAAAGATGCGCTTCCCTGAAGTTGCCCATTCAGCGCCGGCCGCTTCCACCGGTGCCAGCGGCCGAGCTGAGCCCGCAGGAGCGGCGGCGGGGCAGAGGGACCCCGGCACTGTCCCTAGGCCAGGCCACGGGCTCTCCCCGTGGCATTTCTCACTGGTGGTTTGCTCCGAGGGCGGGAGGGAGGAAGGAGGTACGGGTGGGGTCCGAAGATATCTTGCCGGGCATCCTCAAGCTGAAGAGGATGCCGCGGGAGGAAGGTTCTTAGATGCTCACCTCGGAAGTGCAGCGAACAGCCATTTATTAAGATTTCATGCCGAGCAGCGACAGCCTCCTCGGCTGCTTCGTGTTGACATAAACTTCCAGACGTCGAGCATATGCTGTTGCGCAGCATTGTTTATGTGTGGTACCAGATGTTGCTTCGCATCCTATTGTCTGGAGACAATGTTTAGTTCAGGTTAAAATATCTTTACTTAAACTGCTCAGTTGGCCATTGTGTGAGCATTAGTGAAGTGTCATGGAGAGGTAATGGGAAGTCCGGAGAGGTTAGCTCTCCGAGCGTGGCCAGGAGGTCCCTGGTTCATGGTGGGGTTACAGCCACCACTGTCATCTTTTGTTTTTCCTCCTCAGAGAACCCTTGTCCTTCCTCTAAAAGGATGTGCCCCGCTCTCTTTCCCCTCGGAGCTTTCTCCACCGGTTTCATGAAACGGCCCGATGTTTGTTTTTCTAGTTCCCCTAAATCCCCCGAAAGAGGAAAGGAAAGCGCGTTTCTGCGTCACCGCCACCCCGGGCCGGGCCGGGCCGGTCCCCCACGCCCCTGCCCGGGGATGCTGGCGCCGGGGGGAAATCGGCCCCCACCGCAGAGTTCACGCCCCAACCGGAACGGCGGCTCCCTCCTCCCAAAATCCCGGCCGCCCCCGCCGCCGACCCGAACGAGCCCTCCGTGCCGGCCGGGCGGAGGGGGCGGCGGGCCGCACCTCGGCAGGGCGAGTCGTTCCGTGGCAGCCCCCACCCGCGGGAAGCGGCTCGCCTGGAGCCTTTTTCTTCCCTGTAACCCCGCAGCCCGGGCCAGCCGCGGCAGCTGACCTGCGGCCAGACTTTTGCTCTCTCTGGGAGAGAGAAGGGGAAAAAAAAAAAAAAAAAGCTATAGACTTTAATCGGATTTCTCCCCAAACACTTCTGGTATGTTGTTGTTATGCATCTATATGGAGATCATTATTTATAAATGAGCGAGTACGATCGGTCGCAAAGACTTTAAGAGCCCGGATTTGTGTCATTAAGTTGAGGGCGGGGTGGAGGGGCCGAGCTGGGGCCGGAGGTGCGGGCCGGGGGTGGCAGCTTGCCCGGGCGAGCGGGAGGTCACCTGCCGCTTCGCTTTCCCTCTCGCCACCCTGGCACCCCAGGCCAGACCCCACCTTTGGAGGCGAGGGAGGCCTCGGCCCCCGTGCCTGGTCCCTGCCGCCCCGTCGGACGCGCCCCCCGGCCCCTGCCCGGCCGGAGCAGCCGCCAACTCTGCCTCCTTCCCCCGCCGTCCCCCTTCCCGCAATGGAGGCGTCTTTCCCCGCAAACTGGGTGCTCCGCTACCAGCGGAGACGATGTGAGAACATTTCCAGCAGCAGCTGTTCCATAGGTGGAGATAAACCCTACCCCCTCTGCTCCCTGACATTTGTAAAGCCACTTCAGGATACAGTTAACATCTCTCTAAATGCCCGAATTAAACAAAAAAGCCACATTGTGTATTTCGGCTTTGAAAGCAGAGGTTTTGCAAGGCGATGCACTGTATAATGTAGATGTATTTGTGTTATTTCTAGCATTTTTGCTTGTGCGTAATCCCTTATGCCTTTTATTATAATCCTACACATTACAGTTAATCTGTAATGATACTGCTTCAGAGGGACCTGTTGCACACAGTGATGGTAATTTGTAACCTTAGCAACAGTTTTAAATACAGATTGTAACAATGATGTCAACTGTTTTTATTCACCATACCGTAAATGGGGTCTCAATATTATTGTGCCTGTAGAGGACAGAGTTTAAGAAACGTTTATGAGGTTCCACTTTACTTATTATAATGTGAGCTATCACTTTTTAGCTTGTCCTAAGTAAACATGATCATGGTTCTAAATAGTATAAAGATTTTCAAACTGCTGAGGACTCTGTAAACTTTAATTTTCTGAATGAGGGGGATATTATTATGAATTAGGGTTATCAAGATCCAAGTACCCTTACCGAGAACATTTTAGTCTTCCAGAGAAATATCTCAGAATAAGCACTACTTAGAAACCCTAATGAATAATGCTAACACTGACTCTACCATTAGCCTTTTGCACAAGCTCTCCCCTCTATTAAAGCTTACAGAAAACGCTCACAAGCTGAAAGCAAAATTAAATGTAATTGCTTTTATTTACCTATTGCTTTTATATCATTAAAATATTTTTAGTTACATTTATTAAACAGCATCCACTTCAATTATTACCTGCCATATCTATTAATCCATTTTTGTGTATTAACTACACCACCATTAGCTATTAAAATATGCATATATTCACACATATATATTACATATATTGTCTTTGCCAAGATAAGTTTCAGTTCTCATTAACAAAAATATTCTGGTGGAAGATTCTGCGAAGCATGTTTTTCATGCACGCTTATTAATAATCACAGTTGTCAAGAATTAGATATGCACAGATTGCAAATGAAAATAAAATATTAGATGCAAAATGAAATATACAGTAGAATTGAAGCATAACTATTTTTCCTCCTTAAAATAAAAAATTTACAGAGTGAAAAACTGAGCTATTAAGCTTACTTAAAAGATGGCTTTGTTGGTTTAATTATACTGTAGTTATTTTATAAATATGTTTCAAAGGAAGCTTGCCATATTGAATGTCAATGAAGCCTGTAAAGAAAAGACTTACAAAAGCTAATGCATACCAAATACCAAATTTTAGTCATTAGCATTCCTATTTATTACAAACTAAAGGAACCTATTAACAGACAAGAATTTCTATTTAGCTAGCATTACAATGTTTAGCCATTAAAATAAAAAAGGACAAAAAATGATCCCCCCCCCGGCCCTGAACTATACATTCTTTTTCCTCAGAAAGACACACATATCAAAAACCCCTGATAACAGAAACTATGATTCTTTATTACTGCTGGCTGTACCAAACCAAACCCTGTGTTGCTTTATTTAAGCAAAACTTCTGCTCTTTCCAAAGGACAAGATCTGTCTGATTAAGAGCTTCAGATACTTTGCACGTACCTTAACAGCTGCCTTTGGGGGACACTCAGTTATGGGGAAGCGTGGGTTGGCTTTGGGCTGGTGCAGGCCTACAGGATCAAGCCTGGAGGCTGCCAGGCCTGATGCCACGTCAGTGGGCACTTTCCTATGGCAGTCAGTAGTTTAGATCAGGTCTGGGGTGTGGAGAGCAGCTTTCATGCTTAGGCCGGAGGAAGGAAGGACCAAACCATTCATTAGGTTAGGCAGGCTGCTAACCAGAAGTTTCTTTTCAGTGCTTGTCACAGAATCAGCATATTTATTCATGTGCTGCCTATTTGTTCAAGAATTCCTTTAAAACCTCTCAGCCGAGCATTTCTACTCTTCAAATATCCTTTAAGAAACTAAACTTTTGTTTCTTTTGAAGACGAGTATGTGCATACGTTACACACAGCTCAGAGTTTCTAAAAAAATGTTAAACGTATAACAAGTATTCAATTTCACATATAAAAGGTAAATAAGATTGCTTGCGTTTATTTCCCTGAACCGCACGCTCTTAAGTAAAGGAGAAGCTTTTGGGGACACTCATATTTGTGACGAGGTAACAAACTGATAGATCTTTTCCCCTTTGTTGCATCCGACACGGTCCTCACCTTCTCAGCTTGTGAGCATCGCTCCTTGAGATTCTGTTGTGTCTATTCAAATTGACAGAGAAATTCAAAACAAGACCAAGGCAGCAGCACAACTGCTACAGAGCTTCTGGATGACGGATGCTGTCAAATGCCTGTTTTGCCTCAAAGATTACTTCAGTTTTCAAAGAATCAGGGGGAGGGGGGTGGGGAGCGGTTGAGGAAAGTTCATGCAGTGCTGAGCACAACCCATCGGTTTAATCTTTGTTTTCTGTTCTTCATTGTTCATTTCTAAAACAGGCTTTACATTTAATTTAATAAAAGGTTCAGTTTGACTAATAAGGATCACTTTTGATTTTGATTTTGCAAGAACAGAGTGAAGACTCGTACAAAGAAAATTCACTGTGTAAACATCCTGCCCAAGAAAGGAAGGTTCGCCCTTACTCCATCTACAGGATCTGTAAGTACAAGAAATTTGTTCTCTTCAAAGATTTAAACTGCCAGGCTTTAGGATGCCACTGTAGGACTGGTTGTTTATAGCTTTTACATGGACATATGGTAGGAAGTTTAACCAAAATGGTTCTACAATCAGTGTATCTTAGCATGTATGAAATATTTTGAATAAAGGAGTTCTTGTATGACCCCATTTATTCGATCCATGTTGCTGCTTTTCACTAATGAAAACAAAACTGATCTGAAATTTGCATGAGTGTGGTGCCTGGGAATAACAGTCTCATGAAATCAAAATGACGCAGGCTGTCTCTGATTTTGCTAAGATACATTAGAATTTGGGAGGAAGAATCTCATGGAAAATTAAATACAATAGCAGTCAGAGTTTCTGAAATTTTAAGAACCCCTGCTTTTCCTCGGAGATATTTTCTGAGTCAAAAATCTTCACTTCTGTTTATTATCAATAAAGAATACTGCTTCAAGAGGCTGTAAGCAGACAGGCCAGATTAAAATAAGCCTGAAGGAATCTTGATGTTGTCTCTCAAGTACTGTAACTTTTGCAAGGAGAGCTTTTTCCAGGTCAGCGTATCTATAAACCAAAATGGAGCTGATCCACAGATCTACAAATCAGATGCTCCTGGAAAGATAGGAGATATCTTGCAGGGCTTTCACTTATACTTAGATGGCATGCTAGATAGCTACCATTAGAGGTTTTTCAGCAGAAAAGCTGTCATTTCTAACATTTCTGCCTACCAAACCCAAACTGATTTAACTCTAAGCCCTGTTGCTAGAGCAGCAAATATATTTAAAGGAGAAATGGTAATAACGCAATAGTTCCAATAACGAAGTTCAGACAGAAAAAAAGAGCAATCTCATGGAAGAAAAAGCAGCGTGATGAATCACTCCTTTGTTCAAACTGTCCCTTTAATACAAAGCAGAATACAAGCGTTTGAACAAAAATGTGTAAATCATTGGATTCTCAGCAATGCTCTCTCTTTTTCGTTTTAAACCATCCATAGTCTTTTGTAGCCGTATACAGTATGTGACAGAGCAATTTGGAAAAGATTCATCTATCAAGTTTAACAACTTTCTGGTCTAACTTCAGAGAGGTTTATTGCTTATTCATGTGGAAGGGAGTACACCCAACTTGTTTTGCCTGGTTTTGCTACTTTTGCTGGTCTGCAAGGCTGTTCTGGTAGCTGCAAATGGCTTCTCAGGTGACATTTGCTGACATTCAGTGGTGTATATTTATCAGTATTCTTCACATCACTTCTATACACGTAATCTATTTTATTTTGTTCTTCATAGCAACCTCCTTTTCACTGTCCATGCCCTGAAAATGATAAATGGCAAAGTGGCATATTTCCCTAGCTGCACTAAAATGTCACTGTGAAAAATCTTTAATGGACTAAGTGTAGCTTTTCAGGTTATAACTTGTCAAGTTACGGAGAAATTCTAGAGTTTCTCCTTAATCCACCATTCTTTGGAACCACACCACTGCAGACAGAGACTAATTATAAGTTACACCAGTCAGAGCAGGACAAAAATAAATGAAGTAGAAACCATTCGATCAAGACTCATTTTATATTTGCTTTCTGTCCTTGTGCTGTATTACCTGATTTCCTCTATTTAGGCTAATGCTGAATGTGCCTTAATGTTTACATAAGAATATGCATGTATGCTGAGATATGTGTTATTTTAAAGACTTTGCTTATCGCTGTAACACTGAATATATTTATACTACTTCTACATCTAGGGGTGCCAAGAGCCCTCCATACTGACCAAAGTAACAATACACAGTAAAATCTGGTGGTACTCAGATATTATTCAAATGAACACTAACTGAGAAGGGATGAGCGAGAGGAAATAGTGTTACTACCTTTTTTTAGATTGGGCACAAAATAGGGTAAGAATGACAGATTTAGACTTTAAGGCAGCTGCAGAAATAAAACTTACCTTCCCTGGACTCCGGGGTCTAGGAGAATATCCTGGTTTCCGATTTCTGTTCCTTTTTTTTGGTAGTCCCCAATCATCATTTTGGACATAATGCCCACAAAATGTATGGGTAAGAGAAGTTTTAGAGAACATTCACCCCAAATCTGACTGCAGATCGTACTTTGCAGTGACTTTTCCTTAGTTTTCTCTGGCTTTGCAGAGGGGTCCTTTACTACTTTTACTGCTTTTAAGACGCTCTCACCTTACTAAGGGGAGTGTAAATTCAGCTGCTGACTGGGATCAGAACATGACTCTGAGATTTTTAGCTTGTAATGTCCTTGTGCTGCACCAGCCATCGGAAAGGTAGCTGTCTCCACAGGCGTGAGGTCAGCACAACTTGCACTTTACTTTTCTTCAGAGACACAGGCTGAGAGCTCGCTGGGTCGCTTACATCAGCATTGAGCCTTCATGCAGAAGTTGCCAGTCTTCCATCTATTTTATAGCATGACATTGCAAGGACTTCAGAGTTGCTCATCTATTTATTTGGTTTGACTGTTTACAGCCTTTCAAATACGACCGTTTTCTGAGTGCCCAAATGCCACAGGGGATAGTTTGGTTTTGTGAAAAGACAGTGAAAAAATGGAAATGAAGAAGCTTCCCTAAAGGCTTATTTATAAGATATACTGCTGCTGGTGGCTTGTTTCCCGTGGAGGACATAAATTATCCTAGAGTTTGAGACATATGAAGATACAGCCCCTGCTCTTTGCTAGCACCAAAAGGAGGGATGTAGTCAAAGATCGACAGCCCAAGTTGTACGTAGAGATTATCAACTGCTTCACATGCAGCACATTTAACATCACTGCGACCAACCTGGGTATTGTATTATTAGGCTTTTTATCATCCTTTTTATTCTTGTAGGTATATACAATTATTCACTTGAAAAACAAAACACTGAAATAAAAACAGCACACTTTTTTCCTGATGGAGTGGTCTACTTGATACTAAAATTCAAGTATTTCTTTCTAAAAGATATTTTAGAAAGGGCTACTGTAGAAAGTTACAGTAGGAAAAGAAAGATTCAGTCTGGCTTTTTCAAGAGCACTTGGCTGGTGCCTAATTTTTACTCCATTTTGGTGGGAATGGAGCTAAGGCATCCCCACCGTCCAGAGCAGTTTCACACAGATGCACGGGTAGATTTCCTGGTCAACATTTAAGGATGTTGCAGCCCTTCTCCTGCTCACTAGAGCACAGGCTAAACTGTGGCCTGGTCTCTGCTCTGGCCCCTTCACACATTATAGGGTGTGTAGGTGCAATCATCTCTGTGTAAATCCCTTTGTGGCTCTGGGCCTGAGTGTTTTTTGAAAATCCCACCCACATGGGACACCCATAGGTCAAATGAAAAATTGCATAAGCTATTAACTAAAGCTATAGCTTATAAAAAGTTACCCACAAGAAAGGTACACGGGTTAGTGCTGCTCCAGGGCATCATTAAATCACACTCCAGCAAGTTATAAAGTTATCTTTGGAGAGTAATCATACCGAGTTGTCAGCCCTATAAGGATAGATTTATGTGTCTCTGACATGTCAGTTGTTGTCTTTGCCACTTCATTGCTGCTATGATATTTCAGCAGGAGGTAACCACTGCTATTCCCCTGCCTGAAAATCCACAGAACTTTCCTCTGTAAACGTTTCTTACCCCGGGTATTTCCCCATCACAGAGCTTCATCTCTGAATATGTATATGTGTTTGCTTAACTCTTGCTCACAGGTCAGTGCTTGTTTATCTCAAATTTTTCTCTTTTTAATCTCAATTTATGTAGCAGAAGGTTCATGGGCAAACCTTTTGCCCACAAAAGACTCCATATTTCATTGGGTTTTTACTAGCCATATCATTTAAAAGGAGGGGGTTCTCTTTTTTTTTTTTTTTTTTTTTCCCTTATTACATTCAGCTTGCTTTATTTAACACTTGCCCTGTCCCCAAGTTTTAAGTGTTTACACAAATGCAGTTTGATTTGGTGAAGTGTGGCAGCCCTTTAGTCTTTTGAGTCAGCTCACTAGGGGGAAAGCCTCAACAGATCCCTGCCTCAAAGCTGGGGTTCGCTTTGGGGCCCTGTCATAGTCACATAAAGAGGCATGCAGTAGACTGAAAATTTAAGCTTTCTGCAGTACTTGTAGCCTTGTACTCTAAATAGATTATTTTGTATTTAAACTTAAAGATCAATGTAATGTCTTTACCCTAATTTTTAAAAAGGGGGGGTTTTTTTTTTTTTTTTTTTTTTTTTTCCCCTGAGGAAGTAATACAAGTTATCATCCTGCACTGGAAAAATTACTGTCTTCATTGAGGAGCTTAATCTAGTGAGTTTGTTAGTAATCTCTACTGTTGTTGCAATATTTTTGTTGAGATTTCTTCCAGGATTTGACTAATTTCTCCATATATTCTGGAATATGGTTTTGCAGGTTGGAAAAATGATTTGTTCTGGCTGAGTCTACAGTGAACAATTAGAGAATGGAAACTCACGGAGTGAGCTTAAGCAAAATCGGCACCCAGAGAAAGAGGTCTTATTTTTCCTGAAAGGTAAGCACAGTGGCAGTGCCGATGCCAGGCAGCAGGCTGTCTGCTCATTTCAGTTACACCAGAGCCTGAACCCCCACCCCAGGTTCACAGCCTTGTGCACAGAATTGGCGTTTGGTAGACAGAAGCTAGAGAGAGAATAGCATGTGATCCAGTATAAATCTTTAACCTAAGTGATATGATACTTCTGATAGTCTCAACTTTTGTACAAAATGCCCCCTGGAGACACGTTTACAGAGCTGCCATTTCAGCAAACGATATTTTCATATTCTTTGGAGATGCCACGTAGGTGATGCAATCATACTCAGCTGCAAAGTGACAATGTAAATTGAATATGACTCAGCTGCTCTTTGGGTTAGAAACACAGGCTGTTTTAGACTGGCAGTCAATAAGAGAAGTTGAAGTGGGGCTAGGAAGGGGAGAAAATAGATTTTCCCTTCACCACTGTCATTCTGGTATTGCTGTAGGGTCCTAAACAATTAGCACTTTATGCTGGTGTATAGTGGAGATCTTGCTTCGTAACAATGAATATTTTTTTATAAAAAAATCCTCTTTCTAAATTGTTTCTCTCTTCAGAGTGTTCCACCAGAATTAATACTCAGAAGGTACTAAGGAAATGTTCTAAAATCCTGTAATTGTATCACTTTTGGAAATTCCTGCTTATTTCCTTTCTCTCATTTATGGCACACGAAAACTTACTGAAGCCTCTAAATCCATGCTTTAATTTCATGTTGTCTCCACCGAACTCTGTTACTATTCCCTTTTGTTTACCGATCTGATTATTCCCTTTGCCCATACATGCCTACTGCCACCTCCTTCCTCGTGCTGGGGACAACTTGTTTTTGTTAATTACCAGAAAGCTTTATATTTCTCTTTGGAATGATTTTTGAAAATAACTTCTCTTTTCATCATTAACTCTCCTGAGTTAATGGTCATGAGTTATTCTGAAGTTGTCTGTCTCCTTTAGACTGTAAATATTTTACAAGATAGAATATGTCTGATCTCCCTGTTAACAGTCTGCAGGGTTCAGAGCAGAACTCAGTAAGATCAAGTAAATCCACCCATGAAATTTTGCAGGATTGTGTTGGTCCTCCAGTTCTCTCCTGTAGCAAACCCAAGTGCTTTTAGAAGGCTTGTTTTTATATGAACAAATATATATAACAATGAAAAAGATATACAGCATGTGATCTCCCCATACATACTCAGGCTCAAATTCCTGACCTGCTGTCTCTTTAACTACAGATGACTGCGCCAGTTCACCCACAGCCTGATAGTTATCCCAGGGCAAGGTGCACTCCACAGCTCCAGCTACAGATCATCTACTTCCTATAACAAGGTATTCTTCAGAGTCATTATTTCAATTTGCATCCTCATGTATTGGGTGAGCATCCCCACAACTGCACTGCAGAACTGCACTTTCTAATGAAAATTAATTTCATTGAAAAATTCCCAATCAGCTCTCATTTGGAAGCCCCAGCTGAGCTCCCACTGTGAGACATATATTGTAAGAGACAGATCTTGCTGTGAAGGGCTGGGAGGTTGGAGAGATGAAGGGTGAGAAGAAAAGCACAATGGCAAGGTGAAATGACTTCCTCAGGATCACACAATGGGTCAGTGGCAGTTTCGGGTCTTCCTAGTGCCAGCCACAACCCAGGCTACCTCTCGCATCCTGAGCTTGCGGACAGGCTCTGCTTTCCCCTGGCCATCTTTTCATTAACTAGATTCTTCCTGCATGTGGGGTAATGCATGGGTGCACAAGTTCAGCAGTTCTGAACCTTACTGCTTATGAGGCATCATGTACGGATATGACCATCAGAAATTCTGAGGTAACAGATAGCAAGGATGTCAGGGTAAAATGCTAAAATGGATGATCCTGGTGGGCCAGAGCAGGCAAGGGGACAAGGAAAATCAAGTATTTTTCAAACTAAAGTGTGTCAGCTGCTCTGAGCAAGGTAAAAAATATCATTCATATTTCACAGTTCAGAAAATCTGGCATAAATTGGTTCACCTGAAGCTGTACAGGTTGTTAAGCCAATATCACGGTTAGAATGTGATGCCTTTCTTAAAATTAAACTTTTCCCTTCAGAAGCTTCCCTATGTCCCTAAGATTCTGACAATGCTAAGAACTTTTTTTCCTTCTGGTCTTATACTGATTAATAGGAACAGATTAGAGACAACTTGTTGTATTTTATAAATAGTGTAACAATGTATTTTGTATGTTTTTCCCAAGAGCTTTCTGAAACTAAAATTTCTCTTTGAGGACAGCTGGTCCATGCCCCTGAGGAAAAAAATGCTTATGGCAAGGCTGAGGTTAATGATTTTAGTTTTCAGTTTTTTGTGGGAATATTATTTTGTTTCTGCAGAAATCTCTGTCTCTCCACTGTTTCAAAAAAGCAAAATTCCTGATATAAGGCTTTACATTTTATTACCCCAAAATGCATTTAATTTTGTTTGACTAGATCATGTTGGTATGTTAATAAAATAATTGTTATTCCAAACATGCTTGGTGAACTTGAATAGCAAAGTGAAGTTTATATATTTAATCAAATCTATTCAGTAATTCTAGTGGAAGATGCAGAAGTGTTTTCTATCAATATTTCCTTGACTTTTGAAATGAATATACATTGCCCAAGTTCTCATGCTTGTGGATCTATTCTCTATCCATATCCAAGCAATTGAACTTCTTTGTATGAATGTTTTCAAAGGTTGAAATGGAGAAACCCCACGAAGTCATATGGACAACTCTTGTTGGAAATGCTTTTGCAGATATCTGATCAAGGGGAGGAAAAGTCTCACAGCTTTTCAAGCCACAAGTTGTAAGGTGGGTCATAACACCAGTTGTAATTTCCAGAACCATGTAGTATTATTTCAGGAATATTTGGATGTATTTTAAAAAGGCTGCCATTTCTCATTTTTGCTGCTTATGTAACATTTCATCCTTCCTTCTGCATGAGATCATGACTTAAAGCTTGTCTAGTTCACAGAATCATAGAATGGTTTGGGTTGGAAGGTACCTTAAAGATCATTGAGTTCCAGCCCCTCTGCCCTGGCCAGGGACACCCCCCCCCACTAGAGCAGGTTGCTCAAAGCCCCATCCAGCCTGGCCTTGAACATCTCCAGGGATGGGGCATCCACAACTTCTCTGGGCAACCAGTTCCAGTGTCTCACACCCTCACAGGAACAGAGTATGGTTTTATTGCTGCTAATAGTTGAAAAAGAAGAAGAAAAGAAAACATTAAGTCACCCAAGAGTCACAGTGTTGTTATATTTCCTCAGATTATTTCAGTTGGAAATCTCCTTTGAGATAAGACATTCTTGGTGTGGCTCCTGTTAGGATATTATAGAAATAAGGATATGATGATTTTATTGTTAACAAACCTCCTTTGAAAAATATAATCCAAGATTTGCACCATATTTAAAAATAGCTGTAGAACTACTGATGGAAGAATGCTATTCTTGCTATGAGATAATGAGCATCAAATAAGCTTATTTAATATGGAAATTTGCCTTTCCCAATATATTTATTTTTAAACTCTAGAGTGTATTTGGAATATTTTTTGTAGCTTCTCTGCTCTGAAAACTCCATGGGCAAATTTACATGGTTGTATTTTTTTCAGTGAAAAGTGGCAGCTGAATAACATCTTTCAACCAAGCAGCAAAGCAACAGGATAGAGGCAGAGCAGGTAGTCCTTGTACTGTAAATCCACACCAATTCAACTAAGACCAAGCAGTTGTTAATACTAAATTCACACTAGTGTAGCTGAGAGTGGAAAAGGAACTTTCCTTTTGAACTCTCTGGAGTCTGAACTGAAAAAAAAAAAAGTAGCGGGGTTTAACCTTTAAACTTTTCACTGACCTTTAACAGTTCTTTGGATTATATCTGCCCTTGCTAATCTGAAGCCACCTGCAAACATAACTGGCATTCCTGTTTTTTTCAAGTATACCTCACACACATTATAGAATGGGTTAACAATTCAAACGTTTGGCTCCTGTTCATTACGTCTTTATCATCCTTTAAAGTGATGTTCACCTTTGCAAACAAGTGTTTCTAATTAGCAGCAACACAAGCAATGCTTTGTGTCAAAGTACATTACTGAGGTGACGGGCAGATGTAGATCCTAGATCTAAACTCTTGGAGGTGCAAACCTAGGCATTGATCAAGACACTACATTTTGCCTGAATTAATGTAGAGCTCTATGAGGACCAGATATTTTGATACCACTTTCCAGCAGGTGTGGGTAGAAAGTCTTCCACCAACACCTAATCAGACCATTATTTTTCTTCTTCAGTTTTGCTTGCTTTCATGCTATTGACATCACTGTTTTGCATGCACTTTTTCCTCACATATCTCCACTTTTGTCTGTTAACTCCAAACTACAACTGCAAAATGAAACAATATTTTTTCTTGGACATTTCACTGCTCTCATACTTGAAAGAGTTTAATTAACACTAGAAACGTCTATTGCTTGGTATAAATAACATAGTCTAAAATTGACAATTGGCATTTCCTGTTTTAGTTCACACAGTGATTGCAATATGTTTAGCCATCCACATGGACATTTATCTTCTAAGTATGTCTGTCCTCAGTGGAAAAATGTCATAGGCGGAGTACAAATTTATGAGAGGATGTATATGTTTAAGAACTAACTGCGATACTGTACTCTATATTCATAATTTAGATCAAGAATTTTCCTGCTGGAATGTGACAGCGACACAGAGACAGTCATGCACGATCCCTTACATCCAAGCTACTCTTCAGGTACAGAAATACTGAGCTTAGAAATAGCCAAAATTTAAAAAAACCCAATATTTTGCATTGAAATATGAAATTCTGAAAATTACTGATACAACCTAATGCAGCAGAAGCTCTCGGGGTGCGTCAGTGTGAGGAGCACTGCTCTAGCTTTAGAAAATGAAATGTCTGGGATTTGTTTCACTGCATAGTTTTCCCAGGACTTGATATTGTAAAGACAATGATTCTCATAGGCTTTTACAGAAATAGAGAGTTCATAAGCAGATAGCAGACACAAGGTCTTGTGATTTAGCTGGTGAAAAGCATTTGTATTTTATGTTAGATATTTATTTATTTAACAACTTGGAAAGTGCTATACAATATTTTTAACATCTCCTCATCTCCTGCTGTTACATTTTGGAGAATTATTAAATTTCTGGAGAAGGGTCAGCTCTGTAAAAGTTGTCAGCTTTTAAGACAGGGTATTCAGTGAATAAATGAATTATTGAGCTGAAGTCCTTTATTGAGTATTCCTATGGCACTGCTTTAGTTAAGTATCAAGAACATAAGCGTTTAACAACATTACTTTAAATTCAAAGTGCCTTGAAAGGACTGAGAATGAATTTGCAAATGTAATCAAGAATAAAACATGTGCCTTGGATTACATGTCACTTTTTGGGATGTTTTGACATAACACATTTAGAAAATACTTTCCTGTGACTGAAATGATTAAAATAGATTTCAGTTATCTATGATTTAAAACAGTGTCAGTCCAGTTCTTGGTTAATTTGTTCTCTGCATCACAGTAAGCACCAGCTGACATGTTCACTTGTATATCAGCGTGGAGGCCAACTGCTTAAGGCTAAAGTGCTATTGTGTTACTTGTGCGAGTAATCCTATTAGCAGCAAGAGAATATAGGCATGGATAAATTGTAGAATGGTCAGAAGTGAGAGAACAACCTAACTTCCTTCTCATTTCTGAAGACGATTTGTGCAGCTATTTTAGACAGACCTCTTGTGTGATGGTACCAACATCTTCAAAGCCTCCACCCTCTTATCTTCTCTTAGAGGTACCAAAATTATACCAGCTTTTCAATATGTATTCAGACAGGCACACTTGGAAAAGGACTGGGTACATACTCAAATCCATTTGGTAATCTTTCCTTTTCATTTCCAGAATGCTGGAACCAAAATAACAAATATAATGATACAGAGGATGCTACATGTCTTGGTACCTACGAGTAAAAAAGTACTTATTCAGGAAATTTAATACAAATTAGTACCACAGGGTACTGTTCCCAGAGAGCTACCGTGTCCATAATGGAAAATACACACCAGAAATTTAGTATTAAATCTACAAAAATTAATTTTATTAAATTTATAGTCAAATTAATTACTACTTTCAGTATTAAATGTTAGTATTAAGTGCAGTGTTAAAGTAAAAAAAAAATAATAAAAAAAATTAATCCAAGTAGACAAATCCTACCAGTGAGTTATGCTCAAATTTGCTACTGATGTTTGTGAAACTTGCAGGTATCCGAGAACGGCAGTGTTGAGTTTACTAATGAAATGCCACACTTAAGCTTATCCAGCAGGGCAGGTAAGAGTGCCTGTTAGCAGTAACTGTCTCAGAACAGCACGGCTACTCCACTGATCAAATCACCTGCAGATGCATCTAGGCCACGCAAATACCAGAAACAAAAAAAGTATCATTACTTTTTGTATTCTTAGTGCATGATGGGAAAATTGCAAAGGGGTAGAGATAGACCATCCATCAGAAACATGTTGTTTCATGCTCTGTGACACATTTGATGTAACAGGAATGGGACAGAGAGAAGGAATTTCGTTGTTGTGGTTATGAAATTCAGAACCTGGTTATATAGCCTGATGATGACATGGACCTCTGTTGTCACTTGGCAGTGATTATCTATTCACCTTCTTAATTAATAATTATGGCTGGGTTAATATTACATGAAGTTGCACCCTATCTGAAAAAAAAAGGAGTGCTGACATGTCAAGGATTCAGCTAAAAGGTGTTTTGATTTCTCCTCTCTCCTTAGCGCTGGATCTCACTGCTAATCTGTTATCGTTTTAGTTTCATCAGATGAAAGACTAAGTTGGCCAAAGGCAGGTTCTCCTTCCCACGGCTTCCTGGGGCTGGTATCAGCTGCACAAGGTGACTGAGAAGAGGTAAGGTAAGGTTAGAAAGGCACTGAGGCAAACAAAGCACCAGCTAACCATTACCCATCACTGCTGCTCAAACCCTCCTGCTTTCCATGGACTGTTCCCACATTTGCTGGGGGATTAAGAGCAAGAGCTGGCCATTGGTTAAGGCACTTATGGGGCACATGCATTTGAAAGCTTCATGTGGGAAAAGAAACTATAGCCCGGTCACTCCTACCCCCGGGGAAAAGGCACTGACAGGCAGATGGGTACGCTGGGGCAAAGAGCGCCATCACCAAATCTTGTCAGAAAGCAAACCTTTTTGTCAGAAAAAACCTTTCAGCACTTTTATGTTGGCCCTGGTCTGAGAAGTGTGGTCTGTGTGTAATGTTCTGGTGGCAGCCCCTCGGATGAGTCAGACATAGCCCTGTCCTCTGCGTGGGTCACGGTGGGAGGGAGGTGTGGGGAAGGAAGAGAGCTGCCCTGCTCTGGCAAGCAGGTGGTCTTCTTGATCTTCTCGATCTGCGCCGCAGCACCTGGGAATATTAAGGTTGAAAATTGAGGAGCTTCAACCTGCTTAAGTCTCTGGTGCACCTATGGCTTTATGCCCACTTCTGCAGAGATGAAGAACATAAGATTTGCTGCTCAAAAGACAGAAAACAATAATGTTGAGGTTTGGTAGCCAGTTCCTGTCTCCTCCTACGCTCCCCTAAAGAAGAATAAAAAAAAGAGAAAGCAAGCAGAAGTCCCACAATTTAACATTGCTATAAGACTTGACTTCATCCACTTAGAAACATTAAAAACCAAGTACATTCCAGGAAAACGGTTTCAGGAGACAGCATTCAATACATAAAAAACTACACAAGTAAACTTCAAACATGAAAGTACCAGATCTTAAAGCTTGGAATTTAAAACTGCAAAGTGCACAGAAATAAAACCCTTACGGAGACGCTGAAATGTCTAATTCATTATTATTTCAGAAAAGATTAAAAAATAATTTCTTAACATTAAAGTGCAATCAAGCACTGAAGAAATTATTTAAACTTTCCATAGGAAAAAAACACACTCTAAAATGCTGCAAGGGTATTGATGGCTATTAAATATTTACTTTTCTCTCTAGCTCACACTAGAAAGAGTAATTTGTATTTGGCAGAAACTGGCTGCAATTACATTAGTCAATCCAAAAGCCCAACTTGCTCATACAAAATGCAAACAAATTAGTTAAAATGGTCTAATTAGCAGACTGTAAAAATGCAAAGCAAGGCTGGCATAAAAATGTGTGCTAGACAAGTATACTTTTACAAAATAAACAGAAAGGCAAATATGAAATAGTCTAATAAATATTAAATAAGGACTGTAATGTAAAACTGAATATTTAGGAATTGCATACTTTAAAGAAAAGTTTCTATGGACTGTTAAACATTTTCTTGCAACCCACATTAGGTCATGAAAACATAATTGATACCGTAGCTGAAGTTCTACTGGGATTTCAGTTCAGTGTTGTGGAGCTGTGTGATGCCAGGTTATATATACATTTTGTGTGTATATGTACACAAATACAACTCCCAGTGAAGTTAATTTGAGTGCAAAGTACCTTTGGAGAACGCAAAGAATATAGGAAGTGGCCTACGGAAGGAAGGTCAAGCCATTTCTTTACATGTTGTGTATTTGGGTTTGTTTCCACAATTAAGATAAACAACTGGAAGCACATGGAAATGTGGAAACAGTTAAGATAAAAGATAATACACATTTGTTCTTACGGGAAGTATAAACTATGGGCATTGTCTATAAGGACTCAGCTTACTGGTTAAAAAGAATCACTACAATAACTGTATTATTGTTGTCATTGATATATTAGACCAAAAAGGGCTTTAGTGTCTCTTGCTTCATAGCATTGCTGCAATTTCTTAATCTGTGGGTTTTTAACTCCCTAGTTTATATACAGTAGATATAATAGCCCATTATGATTGTAAGCTATATTATAAAAGAAGCTATTGTGAGGTGATGATCTGAATTTGTCTCTGTATCCTTCTCACCTCACCACATGTTCTTCTGTCCTTCAAAATGTCTGGCTGTCTGGAGCCACATTCTTTCTTCTTGCCACCTGACAGATGGCAGAAGGTGGGTGGCTTTGGCAAAATTAATTAGAAACGCATTGAAGAAACAATAACCATGAACACCCTCCGGCAAAAATATGATGTTATTTGGCACAAAGAACCTTTGTGCAAAAGCATTGCAACAGCAGAAATACCCTGACTACCCTGAAAAAGAGGTCACCCAGTAGAAAACAACCCTTGGCAAAAGGAGAGCAGTGTGGCCACGAGGTGTGGTCATTATCGCCATTACCACTTCTAACACATATCAGCTGACTCATTCAGTTATTTTCACTGAAATAGTTGATTGCGGCACCTTCACTCCCCCATGCTGTCCCCAGTTCTGCACATTGTCTCACTGTGCCAAATACGTTCAATCCATCACTCTTTCTCATGGGGATTATTTATTTGGTGGAAGAATATCTCACCCTACAGAATGTCCCTGCTGACTTCAGTGCTGTTGATGGAATAAGATATTTATGAATGTAAGAGCAAAGTCCAGCAAGAGTCTCCAGCGAAGTGGAGATACTGTGAAGATTAGAGAACAATGTCCTGTTACCTGTTATTTGATTTAGTACTTGACAAATGGCTTTGAGGACAATAAAAATAACAAGCCATATGACAGAAATTATTATTTCACCTGTCACCACATATTCCCATCTCACAAAATTTTCCATTTTGAATGAAAATCTTGAATCCCACTGAGATCCCTAGTGATGACTGGATAAACCAAGGATGCTGGATATGTGAGGAAGAAAAG